ATATTTTTAGCCTCATTATTGAACCACATTTTCCACTGGAGATTTTGTCCGAGTTCAAGAACAGCCTGTGCCAAATCCCTCCAGTCCTTTCGTAGAATCCTATTGCAAGTTGACCAGGTGTTTAACATTTGCTTTACATATGGGGAGTGCATGCCATAAGATGCTATTGCCTCCTTAAATCTTCGTAAGTCTAACATTTTAACTGGAACCCAAGTATTTTGTTCATTCTCTTCATCAGGGAGCTGGTGTATGGCTACCGGATAAATTAAGGGTGATTGTGTGAAAGCTGGCTTTCTTTCTGCAACCTTATGATCCAATTTTGAAACAACTTCACTGTTTATTTCTTCTGTCTGAATTTGAATTTCTCTATAATTCATTTTTACTGGTTTAACAGGTTTAACAAATTTTTCTAAGACTGTTATCCTGGCACTTAAATTGACTATCCTTTTAAATAGTAAAATGAGGATAAGAAAAGTAATAAACTGAATAATTCGATCAATATTAATCTTTTCATATAGTTGTTCCATTGTCAGAGTGTCTAAAATTTCAAACAAAGCCCAATTTTCTTCCAATGTACACATAAAGCCCATTTTTTTAATGTTGAAAAAAAATTCTCTTTTAAATAGATATGTTAATTGACTTACCAAGTCTGGGTAGAACAGTAGAATCCGAGGGAATTTCAAAACAGCCACCTGGTGTTCAAGGTGTGAATCCAGAGAGAGAGAGAGAGAGAGAGAGAGAGAGAGAGAGAGAGAGAGGGAGAAAGTGTAGCCGCTTGAGCAGAGTCAAGCCTTGGCTTTACAGGCAGGGGCCCTGTTCGGCAGGGCAGGCCTGAGTTGTTTGTAGCAGTTGCAAGTAGCTCCAGCTGCAGGTCAGTCAGGCCTGGGCCCAAGCTAGGGAGCTGGGCCGCCCAGGCCGGAAACCGGACCTGCCGCCAAACCAAGCCAAGTGGTGTTTAATGGATTCTTGTCACGTTGGGTGCCAAATGTAGATGTAACCAACCTTCTTATTAAATAAGAAACACAGAACCAATGCAAAGAAGAAAGCCAAGAGGTCAGAACTAAGAGCTAAAACCTTACTCTTCCTCCTGCAGTGGTCCTACCTCTATGAACCAGAGCTACCCTTGTGTTAAAGTCTTTATATAGAATTCCTGTTCTGCCTTCTCATTGGTTGTAAACCCAACCACATGACCGCCTCGTCACAGCCTGTCTGTATAGGCCTCCAGGTTTTCCATGATTGGTATTGAGATTAAAGGCATGTGTATCCAATAATGGCTGTATCCCTGAACACACAGAGACTTACCCAGCTCTGCCTACCAAGTGCTGGGATTACAAGCATACACCACCACTGCCCTGCTTTCCTATGGCTTGCTAATAGCTCTGACCCCCGGGCAACTTTATTTATTAACATACAAATAACATTTTAATACAAATAAAATGTCACCATAAGAAACACCACAATAAAATATCTCCTAATGGCAAACTGATATAGCCATAGATCAGTTTCTTCCTCAGCCCTCATTAGAAAGTTTCTTCTTTTAGTACATGGGAACTAACACAGAGACACACAAATGGAAAATTAGTAAAGAATGAAAGACTTTCGACCACTCAGTTATAAATGGAATGTCCTTTTCAATGCTACCCCACCCAAGTCTCAGGAATTTCTGGAGGATGAGGCCAAAAGATTGTTGGAACCAGAGGTGATGAATAAAAAAGAAACAGTTTCTTCCCAACATGACAATACTGCTACACATATGAACTCACAGTCTGTGGCAGAATGCACAAAGCCTGCATAAGTTTGGGCTTAATGGTGTCCCAGCATAGAAAGGGGGATGTGCACACAGGATTCCACCCCTAATTGTGAATTTATCTGCAATTTATACCCACTGGCAAAGAAAAAAATTGTTTCCTCTAGTAGAGTTTCACTGGATGTATTAACCATATTTCAGGGCAGACTCTATGGCCAGAAGTTGTTGGCCAACACAATATAAGTATTCTTGTAGTTTAAAAAAATATCATTTTGCTTTGTTTGAACACTTTTTTTCTTATTAGTCTTTCGTTTATTTATTTTGATTTGTGTGTGTTTTTCTTGTTTTATTGTTACTGCTTCCTTTGTTTTAAAGAGAGAGAGAAAGAACAGAAAGTTGTGTGGGTAGGAAGTTAGGAAGTATCTTGGAGGAATTGGGGGATTGGAGGACATGATCAAAATATATTGTACAAAAAATTTTTTAATAAAAAAAGGAATATTTTCATAGTCCTACATGAACACACATACAAACACACACACACACACACACACACACACACACACACACACACACACACAACTGTAAAAATAAAATCTCTATATAAAAATTTAGGTTTAGGTAATTGAAATGAATAGCTACTTGTTAGAACAAAAGGCTATTTTACCATTAGAGAGCACTCTGAATGTTCAGCTGTGAGACTGTCATAATGAACTGTATTACTCTTGGTGTTCTAAACACCACAAAACTATCTGACTCCTATATATGTTATTTCTTAGGCACACAGAAAATAAAGTATAGTTATATTTAAAGTAAACTAACTACAAAATATTTGATATTTCAACTCTCAGAGCCTTTGCATATTTCACTCTTTCAGTATATCAGAGTCTTACGGAACATGCTAATATGAAAGTTCATGGAGTGAATCCTGTCATAATAAGGGCAAAGACTCTGTTACTAAAATAATAATTACATTCACAATACATTTTTATTAGCAAATTTTAGCCTAGTGTTATGTACTGTGGAATAATGCTTTTGTATACTGGTTTAATAAAATGCTGATTGGCCAGTAGCCAGGCAGGAAGTATAGGTAGGATAAGCAGACAAGAAGAATTCTGGGAAGAGGAAGGCTGAGTCAGGAGATGCCAGTCCACTGTCCAGGGAGCTGCATGTAATGGCACACAGGTAAAGCCATGAAACACATGGCGACATATAGATTAACAGAAATGGGCTGAGTTTAAGTGTAAGAGCTAGTCAGTAGTTAGCCTGAGCTCATGGCCAAGCAGTTTTAATTAATATAAGCCTCTGTGTTTTCATTTGGGTCTGAGTGGCTGCAGGACCATGAGGATGTGGGAGCCAGGTGGGCACAGGAAGTCTTTCAGCTATAGTTATGTGATTTGTGATGTAACCAAATAAATTCCAGAAGGGGCATAATAATATGCATTTTGTATAGCTAGTTTTATACATATACAAGTATAATGTCTAAATAAAATATACCTGTCATTCAAACAGAAACATTCAAAGCACACAAGCCATCAGGCTGTAAGAAAGATAGCCCATATCAGCTTTATCATGAAAAGTGTAAACTTTACCCTAAACTGAGCTTGATCATCGTTATGACAACTTGGTTTGTTAAACATTACAGAGCTCCATGCTCCAGAGCAGAGTTGGGATTAGTTGTCTTTTTGTGCCTTTCTTGCCTAGCTCTCCTGAGAGCTATGTCTAGTTTTGTTAGTTGTTTTTTTTTTAATGTATATTTTTACCATGGAAAAATTTCAAATATCCACCACAGTGGAATGGCAAATGGATTTGATTATTTGATTTTCCCAGCACACAACTTGAAAATTTTCAAGTTTGCCCATGTTTTGTGTATGTGTATTTCACATTCTAGAAATTCTTCTCTTTTCCTGACCTGGCTATTATAAAGCATGTCCCAGACATCAGGGGATGCCAGCCTTTAGCTAAGAGGCAGAACACACCCTACATATGAAGGAAGCTATGTTTTGCTATCTTATTTACAAACTAGTATGTAGGTGGTCTTAGAGTAATGATGATTTGATTTGAATTATTTAATTATTTTAAAACATTTATGTATACCCATTTGAATGTATTTATGTGTACCAACTGCATGCAGGAACTGTTGAAGTCGAAGAAAGGGTTGGATCCCCTGGAACTGGAGTAATAGGAACTAAACCCTGGCCCTCTGCAAGAGCAGCAAGTCGTCTTACTACTCTCTAGTTTTGACTCAAATTTTAAAACTCATGGGAAATCAGAAGATATTTAATGGAATTGGAATTTGGAGTTTTGCTCATTTTTCATACTTAGCAACTATGGTATGATCCTCTCTTATGATTTAGCATGCTAGACAGTGACAGCAAGATTCAGCTCAGTCATTGATATGAGCATAGAGAAGGATGACTAGCACCTCACAGTGTGTTGTGTCACTAAGTTCTTTGTAGATTAGTTAGTCAAACTAATGGATTATTGTTTGAGAGGCAGTCTTACTAGTGAGACTTACCTGATTCAGCCTTCTGAGTGCTGGGATCATAGATATATGACACAGTGCCCAGCTTAAGATATCTTTGATTCATGACATTTTCAATTTCTGATTGGATTACAAGGATATGATTTCATGGCAAGTTGAACAGAAACTGAATATTTTCCAAAAATCTTATATTTTAAAAGTATTAATATAAAAAAATCACATACAAATTATAAATATAGAACTTTAGAGGATGCTTTAAAAATAGTGATTTTCCAAACACTCAAATTAGTGGAAATGCTTTTAGATTTTTTTCCTGTGTAATTATATTGCTAAATCCAGTGTCATTAATAATGGTGTCTGTGCATACATGACTTATTAAAAGTATTTTTTTTCAACATACAAGTAAATAATTTACAGAATAAAAGGCTATAGACTGAAATAAATCTATGCACTACTTGGAAATAGCCATTGTTGTTGCATACTTTTTTTCTTTTTTCCAATGAAGATATTTTATGCAGCTAAGTCAGACTTATCAGCACATATTTTTCGAAGATTAGATGTTGTCCATTTTTTCTTTTTAAAGGCAAAATATTGAGTAACTACAGTTTGTAGATATTCAGAGATCAGCAACCCAATTGCCTAAAACACTAATTTTAGAGTAAACTCCTTAAGACTTAAATTTTTATTCTGAAATTTTATTGAAAAATTTTCCATGACAAGTAATTTTTCCAATGAATACATTTTTACATTATTGTCAAAGGAAAAATAAATTTATTTTTTAGCAATCATAGCTCCATTTTATATGCTCTGGACTCCTTAATCAGGTGAATAACAGGACAAAGACACAGCAGTCTGATGACACCTTGCACTTCAGATGCAGGACTTGAAGAACCTAAGTTCATTCTAACTTGAAAGTCTCCTCTGTGAGAACTAGCTTTCGTGGTTCTAAATCATACCATGCAAATTTCCAATGGAGGAAGTGACCAACAGACTTATATTGCTGCAAGGCCTATGAATCACAACAAAAAGACAGCGTAGCACCATAATCCTTAGTGTGTAGTAGTGATATGTGTAGGTTTGCAGTGATAACCAACAACTCTCTAATTAGACTTAAGATCTACTCAACAAGGAAATCCTGACTCATATAGGAAATCTCTCCAACTACTAGGGGTCAATAAAGTAATTGATATTGGTAGAGAACCTACAACTGCCATTTTCCTAAACCAGAATAATCCTTAACCATACTCTATACATTTGCCCTTATACCCATAGATGAGTGTGGTCTTCAGCCCTCATCAAGAAAACTACTTTTTTCAACAAATGAACAGCATTACAGAAAAACACAATCAATCATCATGCAGACTTCTGGAGCTCAGTACCACCTGACAGATGGATCTACAATACAACTCCTGCGCCAAAGGCCCAGAGATAATTGCAAAAGAGAGGGGAGGAAAGATTATAAGAACCAAAGGAACAAGGAGTTTGCTGTGAGATTGTGTCTCATTCAAATATCAGAAGCTATACCCATGAAGTCTCACCAATACAGCTTCCTAAATATGACCTAAACAAGGAAAACACCAAGCCTTGCTAACATGGAATAGAGAAAGTTCATGAGACCTCAACCCTAGACTAAAGTACTACAGGGAACTAAGGAATGAGGAGAATGGGAAAATAGTCTTCCTTGTGGAAGAGTACACCAATTGGTTATCCAATACTGTAGCTAGAGTTTTCCTGCCTGGCCCACAGTCAAGACAAATCTCTATCACCTGCCAGTCCCACAGTCGCTCAGACCCGACCAAGTAAACACAGAGACTTATATTGGTTACAAACTGTATGGCCGTGGCAGGCTTCTTGCTAACTGTTCTTACAGCTTAAATTAATCCATCTCCATTAATCTATACCTTGCCACATGGCTCGTGGCTTACCGGCATCTTCACATGCTGTTTCTCATCGTGGCGGCTGGCAGTGTCTCTCAGACTCAGCCTTCCACTTCCCAGCTTTATTCTCCTCCTTGTCCCGCCTACACTTCCTGCCTAGCCAATGGCCAATCAGTGTTTTATTTATTAACTAATTAGCAACACATTTGCCATACAGAACATTCCACAGCACTTCCCCCCCCTTTTTTTTTTCAAAAGGAAGGTTTTAACCTTAACAAAGTAAAATTACATACAATTTGGGAATTTGGGCGTAGCTTCTCTTACTACTTCCTGCTGGAGGGGGGCGCTGTATCTTATGGGGATACAAAGAAAATTTTAGGATTATGGAATAGTCTGTGAGGCTGTATCATCTGAGCCAGTTGCCTTGAAACCATTCTGGATGTTGGATCATCTGGGCCATGGTGTCATCGGAGACTTTCAGGGGGTCTTGGCTGGTCAAACCTGATGTTTCTTAATCTTGAACAAATCCATAGCCTCTGGCTTTCTGTGGAAACAAAAGAGACTCTTTTCCAAAGCAACATATCCTTATATCCAAATTTTGAAGTCAAGGTACCTTTAAAGTATACATTTTGACATAACTCAACAGCTTTTACAATCAAATGTTTTTCTGCAGTTAAAAGTCCCAAAGACAACACAATCCAGATTCTCTGTGTAATATCCATTTTTACGTGGCTTATTTTTTATACTACCTTTACTGTCTCTTTAAAGACTTTATTTTTTAAAACTATGTATTTGTTTCTATAACTCTATATATCACCTTTTTTGTCTCTTTCAAGCCTACGTATATTTTACATACATTGTAAACTATTACATCTGAATCTGTCTTATTGTGAATCTATTGCCTTAAACTGCAGCAGCTGTAGCTGCTGGCTCCACCCACCTTAGCTTCCCAACATGGCTACGTTTACCACCAGCTCTGGGAGCTATCGTGGGTCTATGCTTTTAGTCAAGCAGCGTGTAGCCCAGAAACCTCCCCTTTTGCTCTGCACCAGCAAAGGCTAAATCCACCATGCAGCTCAAAGTGCCACTTGCAAAGGCCTCATTCCCGCCATAGGCAGGTCGAGCACGCACGCTAGGAACCCACCAGTAGCTCAAACCAGCAGCTGCCGCTCATTTGAGAGAGACAATTAGGAACTGTTTTTAGCTCCGTTTTAGAATCTTTTCTCAGGTTTTAGGTGGAAACTCTTGCCACCACGTTGGGCGCCATTTGTAGCTAGAGTTTTCCTGCCTGGCCCACAGTCAAGACAAATCTCTATCACCTGCCAGTCCCACAGTCGCTCAGACCCGACCAAGTAAACACAGAGACTTATATTGGTTACAAACTGTATGGCCGTGGCAGGCTTCTTGCTAACTGTTCTTACAGCTTAAATTAATCCATCTCCATTAATCTATACCTTGCCACATGGCTCGTGGCTTACCGGCATCTTCACATGCTGTTTCTCATCGTGGCGGCTGGCAGTGTCTCTCAGACTCAGCCTTCCACTTCCCAGCTTTATTCTCCTCCTTGTCCCGCCTACACTTCCTGCCTAGCCAATGGCCAATCAGTGTTTTATTTATTAACTAATTAGCAACACATTTGCCATACAAAACATTCCACAGCACAATACCAAGTGGATAACCCTAAAACTTACACATACAAGCAACATTTCCTGGCCTGAACAGGTTGTATTTATATATTTAGCAATATGTAATATTACATAAGGTTGGGCAGTGTGATGGTTTAAAAGAAAAATGGCCCCCAAAGGGAGTGACACTATTAGGAGATATGGCCTTATTGGAGGAAGTGTGCCACTGGATCTCAAAGGAGGTCTTTGAGATCTCATATATGATTAAGATACTTCCCAGCATCTCAAACCACTTCCTGTTGCCTGCAAGATGTAGAACTCTCACCTACCTGTCTGCCTGTATACCATCATGTCTCTCCATGATGATAATGGACTGAAGCTCTGAAATGTAAGCAAGCTACTTCACTTAAATGATTTCCTTTATAAGAGCTGCTGTGGTCATAGTGTTTCTTCACAGCAAGAGAAACCCTAAAACTAAGACAGGCAGTGTTCAGTGTTAACATTTAAAACAACAGTACATTGAAATTCTAGAAAAGAACTGTTTTATTAGAGAGAGACAAGGAGAGAGGAAGAGAGAGAGAGAGAGAGAGAGAGAGAGAGAGAGAGAGAGAGATGGAGAGGGAGAGGGAGAGAGAGGGAAAGAGAGGGGGAAGGAGAGAGAGGGAGAGAGAAGAGAGAAGGGAAGGGAAGAGGAAAAGAGAAGAGAGGAGAGAGCAGGGAGGCTTACAAGACCTGTGAATCATTCATATTTACATTGCTTTAAGTTTGAAATCTAATTGGTTATTTTTGGTTAATGAATAACTGGTACTTTAATTTGGGATACATAATTATAAAATTGCTGAAGAAGTTCTTGGTCAGGAATTGGAAACTAACTTCCAGCTTCTGAGTGGAACTTTGGCCTCTGGTCTTTTTTCCTTCTGTGAGACATAGTGTAGTCTAGCAATTCAACTATGCTGTGACGTGTGAAAAGGCCCTGCCACATAGCCTAAAATCCACTTGGTCTGCTTTCAACACACATTCACCATTGGTGAGGAACACCTTCCATATAGACTGCTTTATCTATTTTATAGTTCAGTTTTTAAGTGCAATTTGTTTTCTGACATTATACTGCAATTACATCAAGCTGCTTTTGCATGATTTATTTGACATAATCATATCCTAACAGCTCAGCATCACAGACAGTTCGGACTTACATTATCATATAATTTACTGTGAAATCATACCTACACTAATATCATCTAAATAAAGCATTAAATGCCATGCCATTATGATTGGTGCCCACTATAAGCCTAATTGCTGTAATTATGGAAGCTGTTATTAATGAGATTATGAGTAGCACCCTGTGCTTTTCAAAATTGTAATATGAATGGCCAGATGGTTTTGTAGATTTGGGTTTCTCACTATGTCTATTGATTATATGCCATGAGATTAGTTCTAGCTGTTCCATTAGATACTGACATCAGAGTAGTACATATTGTACAATTCATTTAATTGATCACAGAGAGTCATTTGAAGCCTGCAGATAAAAACTGGGCAGTATCTTACAATCAGAAGATGTTCTGACAGGAAATCAGTTAATATTGCACAGTTTAGTATGAAACAAGAACTTACAGATTACTTTTTCTTCATTTTTTCCTTTTATTGAAAATAGATTCTTTTCTCATGTAATATATCCTCATTACAGTTTCCCTTCCCTCTACTCCCCCCAGTTTCTCTGCCTCCTCTCCCTTCCAGATTCACACCCTTTCTATCTCTCATTAGAAAAGAACAAGCTTCTAAGATATTAACAACAAACATAAAAAAATATAAGATAAACAAAAAAACATGACATTTAGGCTAGCAAGGCAATCAAACAGAAGGAAAATTGACCCAAGAGCAGGAACAAGAATGAGTGACTCAGTTGGGGATTTAGCTCAGTGGTAGAGCGCTTGCCTAGCAAGCGCAAGGCCCTGGGTTCGGTCCTCAGCTCTGGAAAAAAAAAAGAGACAAAAAAAAATAAGTGAAGAATGAGTGACTCACTTGTTCACATATGTAAGAATCCCATAAAAATACTAAACTGAAAGCTACAGGACCTGGAGCAGACCCATATAGGCCCTGTGCTTTTTGCTTCAGACTCTGAGAGTTCATTTGAGCTTTGCTCAGTTGACTTAGAGGGTCTTGTCCTGGTGTCTTCCATCCTTTCTGGCTCTTATAATGTTTCTGTCTCTGCTTCCACAGCATTCCCTGAGGTCTAAGGGAAGTGATTTGATGGAGACATCCCATTTAGAACTGTGTGTTCCAAGAACTCTCTCTCTAGGAATGTCTGTCTGTGGGTCTCTCCATCTGTTTCCATCTGCTGCAGGAGGAAGCTTCTCTGATGATGACTAAATAAGGCACTGATCTCTGAGTACTCCAGAATATCATTAGGAGTCATTTTATTGATACTTGCCCCCCATTTTTAGACCAGTAGTGTTTGGTATTACCCTAGGTCTCTGGGCTATCTGGTCTCTGGTTCTTGGTAATCCAAGCAGTATTAGGTATGGGTTCTATCTTGTGGAGTGGGCCTTAAGTCAAATAAGATATTGGTTGACTGGTCCCACAAGTTCTGTGCCACCACTGCCCTGACATGTATTGCAGGGAGGAAAGATTGCAGGTAAGAAGTTTTGTGACTGGGTTAGTTTTTAATGCCTCTCTTTTGGTAGCCTTAAAAGTATCTTCTCACATCAAAAACACTAGAATGTACAGGTGGAGGCTTCAGATAAGCACCAGCTTGAGCTCTCCACATTACATGAGTTGTGTGGGTGTTGTCTTCAGTATTGGTGTCCCAATTTCCTTTTGCAAACAACACTTTGGGTTCCTTAGGGCTTTGCATGAGACCCCATTGGTCAATAACTTAACTGAATGCAACCCAGTCCTACTATTGGAAATCTTGTTTGTTGACAAGAGATAACCAGTTTTGACTTCAGATTCCCCCATTATTAGGAGACCTCATTAGGATTGACTTCATGTATCATAAGAAGATTCCACTGCACTAGATTTCCAAATCATCCTTCAAATGTATCTCAATTCTTGATTTCTATCTCTGCATTCCCACCCTCAACTTTATCTCCCTTCCCTCTCTCAACCTGTTCCTCCTATTCCTGTCCCACCCACACCAATACACCTATAAAATCTGTATTATTACCTCTTCCCAGGGAGATCCATGTATACCACTAGTCCCTTCTTTCATGCCTAACCTCTCTGGATCTACAAATTGTAGGTTGGTTATCATTTATTTAACCCAAAATATCAGGTATAAGTGAATACATACCATATTTATCTTTCTGAGTCTGGGTTACCTCACTCAGGATAATTCCTTTCTAGTTCCATACATTTGCCTGAAAATTTCATATGTCATTTTTTTAAATAGCTAATACTCCATTGTGTAAATGTACCACATTTTCTTTATGCATTGTTCAGCTGAATTGTTGCTGGATCCTAATGGAGGGTGAAGTCAGAGCATCAACAACACAGACACCAGGAGTCAGTTGAAAGAAAACAGCAGACTCGTTTATTCAATTACAAGGAAGGTCTTATATACTCTCCTCCCAGTACCCAAGCTGTGTCCTAATCTGGTGGCATTGTGTGGCCATCCCTCATTGGCTGGGCACAATCAGGAACTCTGACAGTGATCAGGAATTCTGACAGCACCTGTTGCTAGGCCCTCAGGCAGACTCTAGGATGGCTCATAAGGAAGCATGGTAAGTGCATGCCTTGACAACTGGTTTGAGCTGATTTCCTTGACCCTATGGGCCTGTCCTACTAAATATCCACCATTTTATCTTTTTATGTGGGTGATCAGCAGGAGTCAGAGTCCTTTGCTCCAGCCTTGTTGACCCCACCTCAGGGGGGCTCAGCAACTGGACTGTACATTTCTTAGGTTGGCTTGCCATACAAGCTCTTACTCTTCATTGACTATTAGCCCTTGAAAAGTGTCCATCCCTGGGGGGGTCACTCCAGATGGTGGGGGCGGGGTCAGGCAGTAGCCTTTTGATTTTCAGAAAGCTAGGCACGCATAAACTCCTGTGGAGGGCTATGAGTTGAATGTCTAAGAGCCATTAACACCTGTAGAGTCACCTTAGTGGCTGCTGTTGTTGCCAGATGTGCTGTAAGAGACACTTAAAAAGGAGAAAGATGTAAAGCACCATCCCACCAATCAAAACATGAATGAGACTCCAGGAGGGATCAAACAGCTCTTTTATATCATGCCAAACCTATTAAAAAAATAAAGAGTCAAAATTGGAAAATTTTATGTGTTAGCTGTAATGAATAATATAGAAACTTAGCTGACCATGGGCTCCTTAATACATTTGGCTAGCTAATCTAAAGTTCCTCATCTCAAAAAAACATCATACAAAATGAGGAGGAGTGAGGATCCACAAGTCCTCCACCTTTAGAGGGGTAATGAGAGCAAGAAAGGGGACTATATACATACATACATACATACATACATATATATATGTATATATGTATATATGTATATATGTATATATATGTATATGTATATATATATATATATATATATATATATATATATATATATATATATATATATATACACATTACCCATCCTGGGTTATTTCCTCCTTGATAGAAGCAGGCTAATCCATGGCCAGGTGCATTATCTCTTGCTGGGACCCACACTGGCATAGTGGCATTCTGAGGAAAAACACAAGTATACCCTATCCTAGGGGTCAGCAGGGTGGCTGACAGCTACCATTAGAGGGCATCTTTCCATATCATCAGGGGGAGGGGCATGTTCCTTGGTAGAGATGCTCAGTGCTTATAGGTTAGGCTGTGCCCCTTGTCATCAAAACTGAGAAGGTTCATATGGAAAGGACATCTGTTAATGCCAAGTGAGTATCTCTCCTAGCCTCTAGCAAGAAAGTCCTTGTAAAAAGCTCCTTAAGAGTTCTCTTAGTCCTCTCCACAATGTCTTGTCCTTGTAGACTGTAAAGGATGCCAGTGGTATGGGAAATCTTCCCAGACCCCAGAAAGTCACTGAATTTTTGAGAGACACAGGCAGGGCCATTGTCAGTCTTAAGTGCCCAAGGTACCACCATAACTACCATGGATGACTTAAGGGCCTTGATAACATTGATGGCCTTCTCCCCAGAAAGGGCAAGGGTTACACAAAGGAGGAGCACATACCCACTATCACATGAACATATCTAAGATTGCCAAAAGGAGCATAATGTGTAACATTCATTTGTCAAATGGCGTACGCTTTGGGAAGGGGTTGTGAAAGTGGCAAAATGAGATGGATTTTGAAAGGGGAGAGTACCTGAGGGGGTCTTACCTCCCTTGGTCCAAGTCCCTATTTGGGATTAAAGTGGGGAAATTGAGTCAGTTTCACTTAGAAAGCAGGTTAACAGCAAGCAGCTCTGGTTTCCAAAAGATTAGACCAAGGAAATCTGAACCTCAGAGTGGCCTCAAACTTGTGATCCTCCTGCCTCCGCCTCCTTCAGCAAATCCTACCAATATGCACCACCACAACTGGCCCTGCACCCAAGGAGCTAAAGGCTAAAGCAGTCCTGAGGAGGAGATAGCATCAGTGGCAATGCCAGAGAGGAGAGTGGACAATGGCCTGGCCCCGGACATAGCACCTGAGGAGATGAATGAGTCCAAGGAGGAGGACTTGGTGGATATGAGTACCTACAGTAGACTCAGGGAAGACTCTGAGGCAGTGCCTTGGAGGAGGACTGTGAAGAAGATGAGGAGGACAGAGAGCCCTCCCACTAGCCAGAGTCAGGGTTTGAGGAGATTCCCAGTCTCTCAGAGGAAGAGGATCTGGGCCTGAGCCAGAAGATCCATTTCAGCCCCACACTGATCCAAATATTCAGCACCTACTCCAATGAGGACTATGATTGATGGAATGAGGATGTGGATCCTATGATGACTTCTGCAGAATATGAGCTAAAGAAGTGTATGGAGAGGTTAGAACTGTTTCCTGTGGAGCTGGAGAAGGACTCTGAGGGCCTGGGCATCAGCATCATTGGCATGGGGACTGGAGCCAGCATAGACCTGGGGAATCTGGGCATCTTTGTTAAGAACATGACCAAGGATGGCACAACCCATTGAGATGACAGGATCTAAGTAAATGATCTACTGCTAGCAGAAGAGAACATAGCTGTCAATTTGGGCCTGCAAAATCGGGCAAAGAGAACATAGTTGTCTGTAGATGAATTTCTAAACAGTCTTATTAAATAAAAAATACAGAGCCAAATACAGAGGTAATAGCCATAGATATCAGAAAAATAGGAATAGCCACCAGCTAACCTTAGCTCATCACACTGCCACTGTAGCTTCCCAAGCAAACAAGCTTCTTCCTGTCTAACCTGCACCTTTGTTGCCTTGCTGTTTTGCCTTCTCATTGGCTCTTAGCCCAGCCACCTCACTTCCTCATTACTGCCTGTCTCTACATACCTCCAGGTCTCTGTGGTTGGTACTAGGATTAAAGACATGTGTTACCACACTTGGCTGTGCCCTTGAACACACAGAGACTGCCTGCCATGAGATCTGATTAAGGGCGTGTGCCTAACTTTTGTTTATGGCTGGCTATGTCCTCTGATCTCCAGGCAAACTTTATTTATTAACATACAAATAAAATATCACCACATTTCCCCTTTTTTCTAGTAAAAATAAAAAATTATAACTAATATAAGAAAAATTATATATAATAAGTACAATAACTATATGCAATATATACAAGCAATAAATACATCAACAATGTCTAGTCCATTTGCATTTGACAAACTCAGAGAAAATATTCCATTATCTATCCTATTTGGTAAGTCCAAAATGTACCTGATTCACTTTCTATCCTAACTTATATTACAAACAGAGAACTATCTTATAATGTCTTTCAAATTTATACACTTTACACCTCTTTAGTGTGTTTCTTTTCTGAAATTCTTAACAGAAAAACTATAACTATAACTATCAAATCT